CCGCGATCTTCCGCGACCCGAACTACGCCAAGTACCTGGACCAACTGCTCACCCACACCAAGACCCAGCACGTTCCCATCCAGAACCGCTGGCGCACGCACAAGCGCCTCATGGTCGAAGCCGCGAGGCTCGTCCGCGACGACTGGGTCAGCTCCACCGGGGGCGGCAACAAATCCAACCACGCCGACGGACGGGCCCTCACGGCGCGCTCGATCTCACGCTCGGTCTGGCGCCAGGATGTGGCTCTCGCTCGCCGCCTTCAGTCCACCACCGAGCTTGGCGCCAAGTACCTCTCGATTACCGACGGCCTCATCGCGATCATCAACCAGCCCGAGTTCGCTGACATGTCAGCCTCGCTCCACCGCGACTTCGAGGCTCGGCAACGCTCTCTGGCGCAAAGAGCTGCCCAGCGCCCCCCTGGCGCGGCAGGGGCCCTCGAGCCCGAGAAACTCCGTCGAATCTTGCGCGCCTCGCAGAGGCGGGCTCTCCTTTGGGCCCCTTGGAAGCGTCGTCTGGTCCTCCAGGGCATCAAAATCTCGGGCCCAGATGGCCCCCCTGGGGTCGCCAGAGAGAGCTGCGATATGGCGGACGCCCTTCGCACCTACTGGAAGCCCGTCTTCGCACACAAGCTCGTCGATTCCGTCAAGGTCAAGCAGTACATCGCCGAGCACATGCCGCTGGGCGCCACCATCGACGTGGGCGCGCCGACCAAGATGCAGATCCGCTCCTTCCTGGCTCGCACCTCTCCGTCGGCGCCTGGTCCTGACTGCCTTCCATATCGCGCTTGGCTCGCGCGCGACTCGTCGCTGGACCTGCTCGAGGACCTCTCGTTCCACCTCTGCTCGAACGCTAATTTCATCCACGACCTGAACGACTCTGACTTCGCCTTCCTGCCGAAAGGGGACAACCTCGTCGGCGAGTTGCAGACCGACAGGGCGCCTGAGGACACGCGCCCGCTCTCGCTCAAGAACACTGATATCAAGGCCATCGCTGGCGCCGCCAACTTTCTCCTCAAACCCGCTGTGGCAGAGCGGACTCACAAGGCACAACAGGGTTTCGTAGTCGGCCGCAACTTCACCAAGCACATTGTCATGCTTGACGCCGAAATGCGCCGCGCTGGGGTACGTCCTGATGCTGATGATCACCACCCTGTCTTCACCAGCTTCGACTTCGCGGCGGCGTTCCCGTCTTTGGGTCGGGACTGGCTCTTCGCGACACTCGAGCGCTTCGGGGTTCCCATCGGCCTCATGAGCCCCTTGCGCAACCTGTGCCACGCGCCGAGCAGCTTCCTCAAAGTCGACGGGATCCGCCACTTCATGTTCGCCATCGAGTCGGGCGTCGCGCAGGGCTGCCCCGCCAGTGGCTCTGCGTGGGCCATCGCGATGGACCCGCTCGTCCGCCACCTCGCCTCCATCGAGAACCCCGACGGCACGCCCGACTTCGACAAAGGCTACCTCGGTGTCTGCGCGGACGACACTGGCCTGCTCACATTCTCGTTCGACACGCTGCGCAAGGCATCTGAGCCTTTTTCTGCCGCCGAGGAGCTCGCGCTTCTCGCCCTCAAACCGCGCAAGTGTGTAGTCGTGCCCCTGTGGGCGCCTGTCTCTCCTGCCACCACAGCCCAAACGAAAGCGCTCCTGGCTGACCTTTGCCCTTCCTGGGGTGGCTTCACGATTTCGGGGCGAGCCAAGTACCTCGGGACCTTCCTTGGACCTTCCTCCTCCCTTGCCCTTCAATGGCTCGCCCCAGGGCAAAAGTGGTGGCCGCGCAGTAATTTGCTAAATCTCGTCCAGTCTGGCAGCGACGCCACTGTTCGCCTATATAACACCTCTGTCCTGTCCACGCTCAGCTACGTTGCTCAGTTCTTCCCGCTCGATTCTAAGATTGCTCGCCGTGAACTGTATGTCTTCCACAAAATGCTTAGCATGCCGCCCAACTCTTTTCGCGGGGTTGATCTCATTTCGACGGCAGAATGGAGCCCGCCACCTGTCCTTCGTTCAGCCCAAGTCACATCTGTAGCTGCAGCCATTCGTACAGCCACTTTCACACTCCGTGGAGAATGGGGACCGTTCCTCCACCGCTTGCGCGACACCGCCTGGGAGGAGAGCACGATCCAATCTTTCCCTCGGTGGGAAGCAGGGCGCTGCCCCCCCCCCCCCCCCCCCTTCTGGAAGAGACCTCGTCCATCGTGCAATTCTACAATGCCCTGTCTAGCGGACAGCGTGTCTCGCCATTTACCGCAGCAGCCGTGGCCCTGGCGAACCGCGCCGCACGAGCCGAAATTCGAGAGGCACCTGCTGCTGACCCGCCGCGTCGCCCGAAGGTACAGAGGGCGGTCGCGCTCGCGCTGCAGCGTGCCTTTTTCTCTTCGCCGTTCACAGTCACTCTCACGAAGCGCCTCGCAGCGTGGGGCCTTCAGATGACGCCGCCGCCCCCAGAGCTCGCCACCCGCTGGTCTGCTCTCACAAAAGCGCTCGGAGAGGTCCGACCCAGCTGGCGTTGGGCGGTTTTCAAAACTCTCAATGGCGGGTGGACGACCACACACCGCATGCATGTGCTAGCCCAGCGCTCGTGCGTGTTCGGGTGCCCGAACGCACCCGATTCTTTTCCCCACTACCTCTCCTGCTCCGTCCTCCTGAGCCTCCTTTGGTCCCCCGACCCCGCTCCTCTCCTCAGCGCATATACATCCTGGGGCTTGGGCCCTGCAGCAGCGTGCCCTTCCGAACCTGCCAGCGACCTCTCGTTGCGGCAGACGATTCGCAGGATTGCGCTAGCATTCCACCTGTACAACAAAATGAAGCAGCACGCAGCGCCGTCGCCAGCAAATATTGCTGCAGCGATGGCCGCAGCGAAATCACTCCTGTGGCGTTGATCCGCTGTCCGCCGTCTCGCGCTTTGCCTCACTATCTCGGCAGGCATGCGCGTGGGCTGGGCTGACAGACGTGGCCGCCTCAAGGTACGTTCACTCCTCCTCCTCCTCCTCCTCCTCCTCCTCCTCCATGCTTTTGGTCATCGAGGCCGTGCCTCCTCCGCCATGCCTGATCTTTACAAGCAGCGCCCCCCCCTGACGTGTGGGTGTGGCGGGCCAGGCGTTTCGCTGGAGACCTCACCAGTTTTAGGTCGGGCATGTCCTCCTACAGGCAGATTTTGGACGAAAAATATAAAAATAGTCAAACATATTCAAAAATAGTCGGAAATCGTGAAAATTCGTCTCCAGATCATGTGTTTGACTATTTTGAAGTATACCTCCTGTAGAGGGACAGGCCCGATTTAACACCAGTTCTGATGCCGAAGCTCTCACGTGGCAGCAGTTTTAAGGATGGAGGTCGCGTGGTCTTCAGAATGTGGCTCTCGCCGGAGCGCCGCGCAGAACCGTCGTAGCAGTCTGCAGCAGCTTCAGGGGTAGAGGGCGGGTGGATTTCAAGATGTGGCTCTCGCCCGAGCGCCGCGCACTTGCGTCGTACAAGCTTGCAGCAGCATCAAGGAGGAGGAGCAGGAGGAGGAGGAGGACGAGGAGGAGGCGGCCCGTTTTCAGAATGTGACTCTCGCCTCAGCGCCACGCACATTGAAATCAAATGCTTGCAGCAACTTCAAGGATGGAGGGCGGCTCCTTGCCAAACTGTGGCTCTCGCTTTAGCGCCGCGCATGTTCCCTTTTGACAGATTTCAGCAGTCTCAAAGGGTTCGTATGGTTGAAGCCCCAGGAATCAAGGTCTGGCACGATTTAAGGATCTAGGGTTGTCAGAACGCAACGGCTACGTTGATTCGCGGCGTTGGAGTCCCAGGAATTGTGTTCTGGCATGGCTTCGAATTGCCAGGACGCAACAGTCAGGTTGATTCCCGACGTCGACGTCCCAGGCGCCGCGTTTTGGTACGATTAAGGATTCTCAGACGGCTGTCTTTCAACGGGGCACTTCCCGCAATGCAAACAAGTTCTTGTAGCCCTCTGAAGGGGGAAGTTGGAGGGAGGGTTCTGGCAACATTGTCGATGCGTCTTGGGTTTGCCTGGGCCCTCTTGCTCCTCCTCCTCCCCGTCCTCCCTCCCTCCCTCCCTCCCTCCTTCCACCTTTCCTGCCCCTTCCCTCCCCGCTTCCCTCTCTCCCTCCTGCCCTCCCTCCTGCCCCCCCTCCTGCCCTCCCTCCCTCCCTCCCTCCACCTTTCCCTCCTGCCACCTGCCACCTCCCTCCTGCCCTCCCTCATGCCCCCCCCCCTTCCCCCCCTTCTCGGGAGGAGTGTCTGCCCTTCTCCTCCTGCTGCTGCTGCTGCTCCTCCTCCTCCTGATCATCATCATCATCATCATCACCATCACCATCATCAGCATCATCATCTTTATCATCTTCATCTTCATCATCTTCATCATCATCATCACCATCATCATCATATGATATTTATCATATTTAGCATCATCATGATCATCATCATCGTCATCATCATCATCCTCATCCTCATCTTCATCCTCTTTTTCATCGTTATCAGTGTCATCCTCTTCCTTCTTGTGATCACCGTCTTGCTTCCTCATGATCACCGTCATCATCGCCATCATCATCACATTTGCGGACCATCATTACCTCCTTTCTCCTCCTCACCATCCTCAGCCGCCTTGAGCTCCCTATCCGTGATTCTTCCCCCTCTGCCCCCCCCCCTCCTCCCTCCTCCCCCCTCCTCCTCCTCCCTCCTCCTCCCTCCTTCTCCTCCTTCTCCTCCTCCTCCTGCTCCTCCTCCTCCCTCCTCCTCATCCTCCTGCTCCTCCTCCTCCTCCTCCTCCTCTACCCTCCTCCCCCTTCTCCTCCTCCCCTTCTCCTCTCCTCCTCCTCCTCCTTCTCCTCCTCCTCCTCCTCGTCCTCATCCTCATCCTCCTCCTCCTCCTCCTCCTCCTCCTCCTCCTCTTCCTCGTCCATCCTCCTGCTCCTCTCGCCCCCTCATCCTCCACACCACCCTCCCCGTGCTTCCGCGACGACCTCGGCCGCGACGGCGCCGATGGGTCGTGGAGCCGTGCGGCAGGCCAAGGGCTACTTCGAGCGCCTCGGCTTCATCATGCCGCCCAACGAGAACGCGGCGGACTGGATGATGGACATGATGTCCGGGCAGGCGCGGGAGGGGCGCGGGTGGGCCCTGAGATATCCGGGCGCTGCCTTTTTTTCCAACGCCGGGCGTGGTCGCCCGATGCCGGGCCCCGGGACCCTCACAGATCGACCGGCTCGAAGAGTGCTGCGGAACATATACAGGAAAATATGGGAATTGGGGGGGAAGACAAAAACCCAGAAAATGTGGGAACATATGGGGAATATCTTCATTTGTGTGTGTATTTTTTTGTGTCCCAATTTCCCTGTAATTTTGCTGTGATGTCGCAGTCTTCTCGCAACGTCGGAGCACAGGGGAGTAGGGGGGAGGAGGTGGATCAGGAGGGGGAGGGCAAGTGACTGGCCGGGCTGCGTGCCCGCGTGCAGCTTCCTGGTGCCAATGCCGTAAAAAGCACGGTCGGGCTTCCCGCGTATTGTTGCATGAGCTTGAGTCTCCTGAGGTGCTCATGAGGATGCGCGGTCTGCTTGACCAATTCTTCCCCGATGCGCGGAAGGCGTTGGAGGACAAGGAGGAGGATAATGATGAGGAGGAGGAGAAGGAGGAGCAGCAGGAGGAGAGTAGGGGGGTAAGAGGCGGATGGAGGACCCAGACATCCGGCGTCTCGTTTTTGTGAGAGACGGGCCCCCGACCTCTCTACCACTTCCCCAGAACTGTTTTTTCATCCCGAGTCGTTTTCTTACGGTCCTGAGGCCCGGCGAGGGCCCCCATATGCAGAAAACGATACAAAACCTCAGTCGCACTTTTTCCGAGACGCAAGGTACCTGGGGAGACGGATTTCTGATAATGATGATGTTGTTGTTGATGATGATGATGCTGATGATGATGACGATGATGATGCTGATGATGATGATGATGATGATGATGATGATGATGGTGATGCTGTTGATGTTGATGTTGATGCTGATGCTGATGCTGACGCTGATGCTGATGATGATGCTGCTGATGATGATGGTGATGCGGATGATGACGATGATGATGGTGATGATGCTGCTGCTGATGATGATGGTGATGCTTTTTTTTTTTTTTTATTTTTTTTTTTTTTTTTTTTTTTTTTTTTTTTTTTTTTTTTTTTGGGGGGGGGGGGGGAGGGGGGGGGTTTTTTTTTTTTTTTTTTGGGGGGGGGGGGGGGGGGGGGGGTGGGGGGGGGGGGGGTGGGGGGGGGGGGGGGGTAAAGGGGGGGGGGGGGGGGGGTGGGGGTGCTGATGATGATGAGATGTGATGCTGGGGTGAGGAATGATCATGAGAGGAGGAGGAGGAGGAGGAGGAGGAGGAGGAGGAGGAGGAGGAGGAGGAGGAGGAGCAGTGTATACCATATACTTATCACCGATGTTCGGATACACCCTCCTTCCAAGCTCTCTCTTCATAGGCCCCATACAAGGATTCACTTCCACAGAGGAGAGTGCCGTTGGGAGACAGCCGTGTGAAAACCTTGAAGCGTGCCACAACACCTTTCTCACGATTTCAACGCCACGAATCAACCTGACCGTTGCGCCTTGACGATCCTGAATCGTTCCAGAACGCCATACTTAGGACTTCAACACAGCGAATCAACGTAACTGCTGCGCCCTGACAATCCTGAATCGTTCTGAAACACAATTCCTGGAAGATTAACCATCCGAATCTGTGAAACCCTTGCAAATGTTTAAAACGAATGTGCGCGGCGCTAAGGCGAGAGCCACATTTTGAAAAAAGGAGCCGCCCTCAATCCGCGAAGCCTTTGCAACTTTTCAAAATGAATGTGCGCGGCGCTCGGGCGAGAGCCACATTTTGAAAACTACCCGCCCTCAATCCGTGAAGCGAGGAGGAGGAGGACTGCCGCTATGAGCCCCGATATCGTCTACCAGTGAATGGCCGCTCAGCGCTCATGCATCACATGCTTTTGTCCCTTTCGCGCGTCGCCCTCCTCTGGCCCCCCACGTCTCTTGGGGTTGCGCCAAGAGTGGAGGTTGCGTCTCTCAGGGACGCGTCGACTTGCAGGTTGCGTCGCTCGTTCCGTCGGGCGAGTGAACTGCTTTTCGTTCCTTCGGGCGAGAACCGTTGTCGAGTTCATCTGCCGTCTCCTTGCGTACATGTGGACAAACAGACGATCGTCTTCAGGGCAGTGGAAAGAAAAAGGAGGGGGAGGAGGAGAAGGAGGAGGAGGAGGACGAGGAGGAGGAGAACGAGGAGGAGGAGGAAGAGGAGGGGGAGGAGGAGGAGGAGGAGGAGGAGGAGGAGGAGGAGGAGGAGGAGGAGGAGGAGGAGGAGGAGGGGGAGGAGGAGCTGGAGCAGCACGATCCAGGTTCTGGACGTTTTGCCCCTGCTGGGTCTCAGGCCCTCCCGGAGGCGCGGCGCCTCGGGGGCCTTCCGGCGTGCCCCCGAAGACCTCGGAGGCCCTCTGCAGTCCTGGTGCTGGGCGTCGGTGCCGAGTGCGGCTCAGCGCTCGCCACGCTGTGAGCCCACGCCCGCGCCCGCGTCCACGCCCACGCCAGCGCCCGCGCCCACGCCCGCGCCCACGCCTAAGTCCGCGCCCATGCCCTCCTCCTTCTCCTCCTTCTCCTCCTCGTCGTCGTCCTCCTCCTCCTCCTCCTCCTCCTCCTCATTTGTCTCCTTGGCCCCCTCGTCCCCTGTTTGGCGCCCCCACCCCTTCCCTGCCCCCTTTCCTTCCCCCTTCTCGTCTTCCCGTCCCCGCCCCCCCCCCGCAACGAGGCGATTTCTTCCAGCCCGCCGCTCCAGAGTACCACTGAGGTCCCCTTCCCGGGGGGGGGGCAGCTCTCCGTCCCTGGCCCGTTTTGTTCAAGGTACCCTCGGGTCCAGAGCCGGCCCCCGAGTGCTGAAATTGAGGAGGAGGACGAGGAGGAGGAGGCGGAGGAGGACGAGGAGGATGCGGAGGAGGAGGATGAGGAGGAGGAGAAGGATGAGAAGCAGAAGAGGGAGGAGAAGGGATGAGAGGAGGAGGAGGAGGAGGAGGAGGAGGAGGAGGAGAAGGAGGAGGAGGAGAAGGAGGAGAAGCAGGAGAAGGAGGAGAAGGGATGAGAGGGGAGGAGAGGGGAGGAGAGGGCAGGAGGAGGAGGAGGAGGGGAAGGAGGAGGAGGAGGAGGGTGGAGGAGTTGCCTCGGAGTTGCCTGCCATCCACATGCGGTGGGAAGGAGGCGGGTGGAGGAGGAGGAGGAGGAGGAGGAGGAAGGAGGAGGAGGAGGAGGAGGAGGAATAGGAAGAACGGCTGGTGGACAAAGCCCCGCACCACCCGCGCGGCCGTGGTGTGGGCGCAAACCTCATGCGCAAACCACAAGGCGCCCCCCTGCCCCCGAATCCAATGTTGGTTGGCGTCGCCAGCGGGGCGCAGTCGACAGATCGACATGCCGCGGCGCAGCCCGTCAACATTCAAGTGGGGGCGCGGGGGATGCTCACAGAAATCAGCATACGGTCGGGAACTCTTTAGGTCTGGCCCACCGCGCTTCTCGGCGGGACGCGCCATCCACGTCCCGGTTCCCACGCGTCAGCGTCCCCAGCCCTTCCCAACCTCCTGCCCCGCGGAGCGGAGCGACGCGCTATCCGCTCGCACGGCATGGTGTTAGGTCGGGCATGTCCTCCTACAGGCGGATTTTGGACGAAAAATGTTGAAAGGCAACCCAACAACAGCCAATCAATGCTCAAACATATTCAAATAATCGGTCCCAAACTATTGTTGGACTGTTTTTGAATACTCCTCCCGTAGAGGGACAGGCCCGACTTAAGCACAATGTGTGCCGCAGGGGCCGCCGCCACGACACGCTACGCAAAAGCTACCAGCCGTAAAAGGTGCATGATGTTGTTCATCAGCCGAGCGACGCCCCCACGGATTCCTGCTTCCACCCCAGTTCCTGCCCCCCCCTTAGGGGAACGAAGCATGGCATAAACATATAAACTCGGAGGTCCGCGCGGATTTCTCGGATCGGCGCTGGACCCCCCTGGCGGCGCGCCGATCCGAGAAAGCCGCGCGGACCTCTGAGTTTTTATGTTTATGTCATTCTTCGTTCCCCCTGCCCCTCTCTACGGTAGGTTCGCGTCGTGTCGACCGGCGGCGACCCTGCCGCGGGCGTTCAACGCTGAATGCCGCCAGCGACCCAGAATCCGTCGATGTCGAAGGATCTGACGTTTCGGAAACGGCGGATCGCTCCAGGCAATTCTTTCGAGGTCGAACGATCCCCGCGGCGTCAGGAACCGATGCCGAGGTCGGCCCGACACGAACCTGCCGCATCCTCCTCCCTTCCCCGCCCCTGGCCCGACATCGGAGGCCGCCCGAGGAGGAGGAGGAGGAGGAGGAGGAGGATGAGGAGGAGGAGAAGGAAGAGGAGGAAGAGGAGGAGGAGGAGGACGAGGAGGAGGGAGGAGGAGGAGAAGGAGGAGGAGGAGGAGGAGGAGGAGGAGGAGGAGGGGGAGGATAGGGAGGAGGGATGGAGGAGCGGAGGACGAGGAGGGAGGAGGAGGAGGAGGAGGAGGAGGAGGCGACGGCGGCGGCGGAGCCCGGCCGCGCGCGGGGGGCAGGTGGAGGACCACCTGACGCGCATCCCGAAGGCCGAGCTCCCGGAGGCGCTGTTCGACGCCTGGGAGCGGGCCCCGGAGGCCCCCGCCGCCAAGGGCCTCCCTCCCCACTTCCTCTCTGCCTCCCTGATCATTCTCCCTCCTCCTCCCTCCTCCCTCCTCTCTTCCTCCCTTCCTCCTGCCTCCTCCCTCCTCCCCCCTCTTTCCTCCCTCTCTCCTCCCTTCTCCCTCCTCCTTTCTCCTTCCTCCCTTCTCCCTCCTTCCTTCTCCCTCCCAACCTCCCTCCTCCTCCTCCTCCTCCTCCTCCTCCTCCTCCTCCTCCTCATCCTCTCCCTCCTCCTTCCCTTCCTCCTCCCTCCCCCCTTCCTGCAAAACCAGCAGAACCAGAACAGTCCGAAAGACCACGGTGTGCAACGACGGGCTACAAGGAAAAAACAACCTAAACAAGTTCAGGGAGCGCTCCTCCTCCTCCTCCTCCTCCTACTCTCATCCTCCTCCTCCTGCTCCTTCTTCTCCTCCGTCACCTCCTCCTCTCATCTTCCTCGTCCTCATCGTCATCATCATCACCATCATGATGATGATCATCATCATCATCATCATCATCATCATCAGCATCATCATCATCATCACCATCAGCAGCATCCTCATCCTCATCCTCATCCTCATCCTCATCCTCATCCACCTCATCCTCGTCCTCTTCCTCCTCCTCCTCCGCCTCCTCCTCCTGATCATCATCACCATCATCACCATCATCATCATCATCATCATCATCACCACCACCACCACCCTCCTCGTCCTCCGCTTCCTCCTCTTCCTCCTCCTCATCATCAGCATCAGCATCAGCTCCAGCACCAGCAACAACATCATCAGCATCATTATCATCAGCATCATCATCATCGGCATCGCCATCGTCTTCGTCATCATCATCACCATCATCACCATCATCATCATCAGCATCATCATCATTATCGCCATCGTCATCGTCTTCGTCATCATCATCATCATCATCATCATCATCATCATCATCATCATCATCATCATCATCACCATCATCATCATCAGCATCAGCATCATCATCACCATCAGTATCATCGTCATCATCGTCGTGATCGTCATCATCGTCATCGTCATCATCGTCATCGTCATTCTCCCCCCCCTTCTCCTCCTCCTCCTCCTCCTCCTCCTCCTCCTCCTCCTCCTCCTCCTCCTCCTCCTCCTCCTCCTCCTCCTCCCCCTCCACCTCGTCGTCGTCGTCGTCGGCGTCGTCGCCGCCGCCATCGTCGTCGTCTGCGTCGTTATCGTCGTCGTCGTCATCGTCGTCGTCGTCGAGGCATTGGTCGTGCTGAACTTGCCACCTGCCGCACAGAAAACCTCAGGAAAGTCGTGTCGCCGCGCCGTGCGTTCCGACGCGCAGCCTTCATCTTATCTTGGAGAGGGCGCCGCGGCCACCATGGCAAACTCTACCTCTAATGCAGGGCTTCCTGTGGGGTTTGCCGCGGCGCCGTTTGCGCCCACTTGGGGCGCGGGACGCACAGTTTCCTCGTGGTGTCGGCGGCGTCCATTGGGGCGCGTAGAGAACATACGGCGAGGCGACTCGCGGGGAAGGACCCAACTCACATGCAGCTTTTGCCCAAAGTGGCCTGGGGTCGCGAGGGCTGGAAGTATGGAAGGGCTGAGGCTATCACAGTCTATCCGAGTGCGGGCATTGACTTTCTGGAGACAGACAGAGCAACGCCAACCATCGCCATTCCAATAAGGGGTGTGGGCCGCAGTGGGAGCAATTTTAGCACCTCGGGGATCAACACTACCTTGCTTTAATTATTCAGATGTCTCGGCTTGTTACGGCCACTCTGCTAAACCATAACCTATTCTAGACGCTTCGCGTAAACCGACCAGCCTTTCTGAGCCTGATCTCCTGCGCGCCCGTCTTCTTTGCCGTGTCTCTTTCGTCCCTCGTTCTCCTTCTTCCTGTGTTCTTTCGCCTTCTTCCTCTGTTGTCCTCGTTCGCTCCCGCCTCCGCGCTGCCGCTGCGCATCGCTTGTCAAGTTTCCCGCGTGTCGCCGGCGACAGTTGCGCTGTGCCTGACCCTCGCCTTTCGACTTGTTCTGACGGCGCGCAGCTGCCTGCGTCGCTCGCGAGCAAAAAGTAAACCCACCAACCTTCGCCCCCTCGCGCTTTGCTCGCGGTGCCGCGTAGACGGTTCGGCGTAGCGGCCCCTCGCTTGTTTGCCCGGCTTTGTGACGCCGCGCGGGTGTCCGCTCGCGGTCGCGATCAAGAAAGTAAACCCACCAGCCCATCAGAAACGATGCAAAAACGAGTTGCCCTGATCAGGGATGTGTAGGAGCATGCCGTGGAATAAAGGGCTGGGTGAAACGTCGTGCCCCAAGAGGGAGAGGATGCAGGAGGAATCGGGGGAGGATCAGGAGGATGAGGAGGAGTAGGGCGAGGGTCAGGAAGAAGGAGGAAGGATAAAAAATAGGCGGATGAAGAAGAGAGGAGGGGGAGAAGGAGGAGGAGGAGGAGGAGGAGGAGGAGGAAGAGGGCGAGGAGAAAAGGGAATTGCTTCTTGGAGGCCTCTTGGGGCGTCTTGGAAGTCTCCTGGCGGTCCCGGGGGCCTCTTGGGCGTCTTGGGTGCTTCTTGGGGGCCTCTCGGGGCCTCTTGGGGGTCTCTTGGGAGCCTCTCTTGGGTGCATCTTGGGAACACCTTGGGGGTCTGTTGGTGCCTTCTGGACACCTCTTGGGGCCGTCTTGGGGCACCCTTGGGGGCGTCGGGGGGCCATCTTGGGACCATCTTGGAAAAGATCGACCAAGGGAGAGGCCGTAGTAAATTGCCCCCCCCTTCCCCCCCCCCCCTCGGACGGCAACATGTGACCAACACCTTAGTCACATCAGTGTGTGTTGGCTTTCTCGCCGAGGCCATCTTGCACGCTTCAGCGCGTCGCGAAACGCTCCTCGAGACTCAGGGGGAGGGGGCCTGAGGAGGGGTAGACCCCTCCCAGAAGGGGAAGAGGGAAGACGGGAGGGACCCCTCACCGAAGGAAATTCACTAGATCACTCACGCCCTAAAGGGCTGGTGGAATTACAACAAAGAGCTTATAATCGTTGGTCAGGGTTGACATGGTCTCATCTGCCAGCGTGAGGGGAGAACTCACGAATTCGAGCTTCATGGCCAGCCAGTCAATCCGCTTCCCTGTTCCCTTGAATGTTTGTGAGGTCAGCATTGTCCTGGACCTCTGAATCATCACCGTTTGGTTGGACCTTTTTAAGCCTTTCACCCTCGTGGGGTATCTACAACAGGGCTCCCGAACCCAGGGCAGCTTTCTGTTTGAAACCAGCTCGGAGCAACGCCTGAACGCCTACCGTAATATTACTGTGCAGGTGCCCTTCGGTACGATTAGCTCCTACAGCCAGTGCTACATGCTCCGCAACGCACGAACTCTAGCCTAACAACCTCGGCCTCGGGGTTCAGCTCGCTACCTCCAGAGCCAGCAGGGGGCCAAATCTCCGAGACCAGGGAGGAGGCAGGTCCTACCCGAGTACACAACAGTTTTACAAGAAAACTCAGACGGCGGACGTTCTCCATTTGACTCGACATACCTGACGTCTCACGGTGAAACAACATAATTTGGCTTGCCACAGCACCTGCAGTCTGGCTAATGGCTGTATCCCCCATCCGCGTAATCGGATCGCCGTGAGGACCGCTCCTCCTAACGCTTGTTTGAGGCATGTCAGGGCTCTAGGAGGCATCCCGAGGGCCACCTTCGAGCGCAGAAACTTGGCTGCAGCTTCCCACCACATCCCTCTGGTTCGAAGCGCGTCCGCCTCCCCCCCTTGGGCTTGGGTGACCGTCTTATGAACAACGTGTTGAATCTTGATGTCCTGAGGCTGCGCAACGAATCTATTGGCAATGAAAACAGGTGATGTAACATTGAGCTCCATCTCCAATCCAAGTCTGTCCACGACGACGCACGGTCTCGTGAAAGTGAATCCTCCTTCGCGGGCCCACAAATATCCGACAGCGGACCCTTGCTGCGCTTAAACCAGGCCCGATTACTTGGACTGGTGGGTGGAATGGCGGCAACAGCTTGGCGAAACCACTTGCTTAGCTGGTTCGGGGTGAAATAGTCTTTCTGAACTGGCTGGGGGTCGTCTATTGGCACTGCGGCCACCCACCATTCAGTAGCATAACGCTTCAACGTCGTGCCAGCCGCCTCCAGTGGGTCCCTTTGCTCCGAAAGTCCCCAACTCAACTTCGAACTCACCCCCCGCATCGAGATGCCATCGGCAGTGGCGGCAGTCCGTCTCAGCCGAGCGGCTGCCGCTGCTGCCGGTGGGATCTCGATGCGCGGTTCTTTCTCTCTCTCTTTCCAACCTCCTCTCCTCCTCCTCCTCCTCCTCCTCCTCCTCCTCCTCCTCCTCCTCCTCCTCCTCCATCTCCTCCCCCTCCCTCCCTCCCTCCTTCCCCCCCTCCATATTTTTCCTTATCGATAAATGTTTCCTCCCTGTCGTGCCCCAAGGCCGGTCGAAAAGGCAGGCCGGGCGTTTCGCCGGAGATTTCCTCACCGTTTATGATCCTGAAGCTTCCAAGTTGCAAGAGCTGCGCCAACGGAGGGCGGGTGGTTTTCAAAATGTGGCTCTCGCCTCGCCGCCGCGCGCGTTCGTATAAACAAGTCGCAAGAGCTTCACGGACGTAGGGCGGGTCGTTTTCAACATGTGGTTCTCCCTTTCGCGCCGTGCACATTCGTTTCAAACTTTTGCAGGAGCTTCACGGATGGAGGGCGGGTAGTTTTCAAAATGTGGTTTTTGCCTCAGCGCCGCGCGCATTCGCCTTAAAACAACGTCACGAGCTCCACGGAAGGAGGGCTGCTCTTTTTCAGCACGTGGCTCCCGTCTCAGCGCCGCGCACATTCGTTCTAAAGAGTTCACAGCGGTCTCAAGGATTCTTACGGTCAGCGTCGCCCCAGACATAATGTGCTGGCACGATGTCGGCTTGTCAGGGCGCAGCAGGCACGTTGATTCGCGGTGCGGACGTCCTAGGAACGGTGATTCGCGGCGTTGACGCCCCAGGAATGGTGTTCTGG